GGCAAGTGGGTCGCAACTGAGTGGAAAGGGAATTATGATCTATGCTTTTGGAAGGGAATTGGCCGTCCTAGGGAACCCGGAGCAGACATTCGGAGAGACAGACAGACGGGACACGATCATAAGTATTTTGGGGTTCTAGGCGCAGCGGTGGATGCTCCCATATTGACAGTACAAATACGGGTAAGCCAGCCCAACTGTTCCAATCGGGTTTTAGGCACGGGCAGTTTTATATCGCCGTGGTGGGGAGTAGCCTAATGAAAATAAATTGTATAGGGGCGTGCTTCCAAAGGAGGAAGAGGGGAACTGACGGCCATAGTTGAAGGCTGAAAGGGAGGGAGAAAAGTCACCGTCTGCGGAGTTTGGGTATGTCAGTAGGGGGGTGTCCCAATGTCCCTGTGGTCACTCTTGGGTCCTCTGCAGTTTCCTCCCCTGGCAGTCCGAGAAGAATGACATGCAGTCTTCTCAACGGAGGAGTCCGTCCGTCCTGCAGGCCGACGGCGGTGGACGGGGACGGCATTAAGTGGTCCCGTCCGGTCCTTGTCTAAACATGCCCCACAACCCACTACAAAGGACTATGGACCCACCATCCCTTGTGGGAAATGGTTCACGCGGGGCTAGGACTTTTTACCCCAACCAAAATTTCCTGCGGCTAACGACTGCGAACATATTGGAATATGGTACTCGATGAATGGGCATCCTTTGACGAAATTACGAAAGGTGGCCACAAGTTGGGTATGCTACTAGGTGTTCCTCAAAGGTGCATTTTACAGTATGAAAGGTATAGCCTCAGAAACTGACCTTTAAAATCAGAGCAGAAAGCAGAACTTGAATGAAATAAAGATAGAAAACAATTTCAGATAAGAGAGGAAGAACAAAGACCCAAAGAATGAAGTTCTAAGGCTTTTAGAGTATTCCCAATCGGATTCACATTGGAATTAATCCCACCATACACGATACCACAATCAGTCCAGGATTTAAGGCACTCTGATGCTTCAGTAATACCATCTCCTAAGAGATTTCGGCGATCTGCCAGGAGTAATTTTGAACTACAATAGAATCAGAGAAAAGGAGTATAAAAATTAGGAACCGAAGGACTATATTATGATAGGCCTTGAATAGGATGATTTTCTTTCCATATCCTAACTTACCAGTATCTTATCGATAACTTCCTACTCCTATTGAACATTCCTTAGCTTTGTTTACTTTCATTAGATCTCACTTGAGGAATCTTTGTATGCGCGCAGAGAGGGTGCAAAGAAATGGGGTTGATAGGATTCAGACCATATTCTCTTCCCGTTACCCACAGTTAACCGCAGTCCCTGGCAGTCCCATGCCTTCCCCTACAGTCCCCTGCCATACCCCACGCTAATTTTTCTACCTTGCTGGTGGAAACCCCAACTCCAGAAAATAATATATAATTTAAACCGATTAGAAATTATTGTTGAGGTATCAGAACATATCACCAATTCGAGTTATGTATTTGCGAAGACTGTGGACGTATGCACTAGTCCTGTGTAATCCATGTTATTGGAACCCCCAAACCTCCCCAAATAGGGGTAATCACCTCCGATTACTCGGAAACCGGCTCCCGAAAAACCCCAGGCCGACCAGGTCAGGCCTCTTGCCAACGCTGGCGTTTTTTCTGTTCTCACCGCGGTGTACGGACATACATGGGGTATAGGAGATATAGCTAGCGATTTTGTTAGCTATACAGGGAGATACGGATACCAATACTTAGATCATGTATGGAGTTGGGCTTGGTTGGGTTCAGGGAACTCCTGTTTTGGGTGTGGTATGATGTTTTCCTTCTTAGATATTATAGCTTTCTCTCTTTCTTCTGTTGGTATCAACCATCATCACTCTTCCACCTCTGACACCGTCCGCGCTGCACAGCACAACAGATTTATGAATGGATAGGGAGTCTTATTTCTGCTTTATGTATATGCTCCTATCTTGACTGATAATCTGAGGCGGAGATTGGGGACGAACAAAGTAATGGAGTCCCTGACCAGACCATTATCGCACACCATCCAAGTCCTGGGTTCTTCCTCCGTCTGTGCCGTACCCCCCCTCGCGATTTATTGGCCACCCCACAGGTATTCAGACTTCTCTCCATGACGCGCTAGATGACCCTAGGGTATATCGCAGCGATCTTAGGCGCCCGCCTGATCCTCGCGTTATTTGATCACGGAGTGGAGGATTTTGTAGGGACGGGGTGTGTGGCCTAGGGGGTTGAAGGGGGAGCCAATGTGTGGTTGTATCTGGTCGCCACAAATGGATTGGAGGTAAATATGCTCGCTCCTTGGACCTCCCGTGAGCATATCGGTAGATAGTTGTTCAGGCCTGGAGGAGGTTTTTTTGTGGATGCTCTTGGAATGGTGGGAGTAACTTCTCATAGTGTGCTATACCAGTAATGTGGTAAGATTAATTTAGTTTGCTGTCTCCCCTGAAGGGGGTAGAAAACACGCAGCTGTTGGTGTCAGTAGGTTCTTGAATTGGAAGTGGTTCACCAAACCACGGCCATGACTTTTCCCCTTGCTTCAGTCCTTACTGCACCATCTAAAAAATGTAACCCGCCCAAGAGAACTAGCGCGAAAAACTGAACATCGACGACGATATGTAGATACCCACGGTCACCACCCTTATCCTCCTCTCCCTGCACCTCAATCTCATAACAACCATCACCACGATCACAGCCCCCACAGCCAGTGTTCTCAACCGTCCGGGGGAACTGCCAAGAGCCCGAAACGGGACGGGACGGCAAAATGTAGTCGGTCCTCGTCCTTGACCCCCTAGGGCGACCGTCGTGAGGAAAGACGACGAGCCCCACGATCTGAGACAACTTCTTGCAGAGGACGGCCGGTGACTACATAGGACCGCCGGGGATCGTAGGGGACGGTGGGGGGTGCGGGGACTTCTGGGAAGGACTAGGGGTTTAAGGGACGGCAGGAGACAATGGGTGACTATGGGTGACGACAGGGAACTGTCGGTGAATGGCCCCTCACGCCCATGTGTCGGGCAAGTTCAGGAAAAGACCTGACGGGACGACAAAATGCTGTCCATCCTGGTCCTGTTCAGGACCGACGGACTGCCCCATTGCGAACACTGCCCACATCTCTCGATGCAGCACATCCTCCCCCTCTCCACCTAATCTCCCCTATGAATTCCCATTTTGGCTTCCAACCACCTAAGCCCCCCCCCGCTAAACATGAGCGAGGCTCGGAAACAAACTCCCAAAGCAGTATCGATATCGCATATGTCCCTCTGCTGAGTTGTGAGTAGAAGTGATCCTTTACAAGTGATGCTGGCGCGGGGGTGCAGTTTTCTTTGGCCCGGCTTCTTAGCATTCAATTTAGGTGCTGGCTGGATGGGCAACGCCTTGCTATTCAAAACTACTAGTTGTTTTAGTGTTCCCGGCTATCCAGTTTGTTCGTCCTTGGGGTAGGATGGGACAGAGTATCGCTGTCAGTCGGTCCTTGCGGCCGTGCAAGGAGGGACTATGTGGGAGCGGCAGGACTGGACTTACTCCTGAGTACTGCCGTCCAACTGTCTGAAATCCTGTGAACAGAATGACCTTGTCAGCCACAAGGTTTCAGCCACTTTTTGTTGAAAATCACCGGTAATCATACCGTGATCATACCGTGCCTTTGGATCTCGGTCAACGGATATATACCTTTTCTTAGTTATTTTCTATTTGTCACTCTATTGTCGGTTTACTTCTTTCTGTTGGTCGTGAGTTTCTCATCATGTAAGGGGAAGGTATATGCCTTGCATAAACACCATATATGCCTGTTGCTGTGCCATATCGGATGACCAGCCACATGGGAGCAAGGATATAGGTATCACCCGTGAGGGAGGGTACCGGAACCCCACAGTTGTTTGGAACCCACCGGAGGGATTTCAGGAAGAGCAAAGAGTGTTTGTCACTTCTGTTTGATACAGTGGCCAGAACACTGTGTAAGGAGGGTACTTGATTTGTCTATATAAAGTCTTTCCTTATTCCGTAGATATAAGGTTAAGCAACAAGACACAAAGTACTCGTATCCAAAACTATCAACTCCTCACCTTTATCTCTTCCTTCTCACTTTCCAGTCTTCCCAGTTGGCATCTCATAACAATACTTCTGAGGGGTTTGTAGTATACTAGGTTGTTCCCCGCAGTCTCAGGTAGAGTCTCCACCGGGGGCATGGCGAAACTGGGCGGATGGCGAACAGGGGTACTTCGTGAGCAAAAGTGGACCGGTCAAGGTTAGGGTTGGAAAAGTTTAGCAGTGTTTTATCCCTATTCGCCACCCGCCCAGTTTCGCCATGCCCCCATGCCCCCAGTGGAGACTGTAGTCCTTGGTAGTCCTTGGTAGTCCGTCCGTTCCTACAAGTAGTGTGCGTCCAACCTAGCACCCCGAAAAGATGGATTACAGTCAATGGTTTCTCCTGAATTACCCTAAAGACGGACTGGGGGTTTGGAATACCATACTAGCGCTAAGGTATTGTAAAACCTTCCGGTCGGCACGTGAATCTAGGGGATCTCACCTATCCTATTACCGAACAATGCCAAATCACGTGGGAGCGGCAAAGGTAACTGACGTAACGTGATTGCCTCTCATTCTATTTTCATCCTACAGGTGCAGTGCCATTTAAGCTATTGGGACCCCATCATCCTCGACCAATGCCCAGCACCATCTCTACCGGATGTCTCTACTACCGCTTCGCTTTCACTGGACATCAGCAATCGGTTATCGACGGCCTCTGATACTGCGCCCACCTAAGTGGCATACTTTCTGTATCTATCACCAAATTCACGAAAGAGTGGTTCGTGTTCCACCCTGGCATCAGGCTCTCGCTCAAATGCACTCGGTCTCCCAAAGCCCAGGTCCTGGTAGTCCTTCCAACATGCAGAATTATCTTAGTGAGGGGCTAGAAGGGGTAGAACACCAGAGGTATCATGGCACCAGTGCATTTCTCAGGGCGATTGAATTGCACGCTGAGAAATTCCATGCATGTCAGGGTAGCCAGTTCCTAGTATATTTTCCTGTCACACCTCAGGATCTGCTAAACATCAATCATCTTCGCGACACCCGTTACAAAGGACTCCGGTTCCTCTACCTCGAAAATCCTCAAACTTTGATTGTCAAAATCATGCCGGGTGGAATTCATGAGCAGCTGATTTGGGAATTTGGATACGGGTTGCGCAGGAAGGTTGACCGAATGGGACTAGGTCGGGCTCTTAGACCTATGGGGAGCACAACATACCAGGGTGTTAAGTGCGCAAAAGAAGCGGACGCAGCATTCGAACCTCGCCTACCTGGCCCCTATGACAGATATTGGCCAACCTTGGTTGTGGAGTGTGGAGTTTCAGAATCATTGAAACGCCTGAGGGTGGATTCGGACTGGTGGTTGCAGAATTCGGAAGGTGCTGTAAAGACAGTACTTGTTTTTTCAGTCTCCAAGGCGACAAGACACATACACCTCGAGCAGTGGGAAAATGGAAACTCCTCAAAGTCCGCCACAGCTAATCCTCCAATAACCCCTACCAAAATTAATGAAATCGACATCATGGGTCCCATGGATACTAGCGGCGGAGTCCAGAGACCTATTGTTACGGGAGCCCCATTAAAGCTGGAGTTTGAAAAGATTTTCCTTCGGCAGCCAGACCGCCGCTGTGGTGAAGATAATATTATCTTCACTGCGCAGCAGCTTGGTCTCATTGCCAGTGGCATCTGGGATAGAACCTATGAACGAAAACCTACAACCCAAATACAGTAAGTTGATCCTCAATAACTGATTCTTGTTATCAGGTTCAGGGCTTATGTTGTGGCTAATTTGAGGAGTAGAAACAGAAGAGGGCACTCTGAATAGGGAGAAAATATTCTGGTACAAGGTTGCTGGATAGAAGGGGGTGGATTAGAGTTGTACGAAAATGAAGGCAAATGCAGGGACTTGGAGATGTAGAGAGTTTACAGAAGTTCAATTATGTTTCTGTAAATAACAGTAATGATCAGTCAAAAATCTCACCTCAAGCAAATATCTTAATATTATATTGTGACCAAGGTAGAAAGCCTAACTAGTATGTGAGAGCAATTAGTAGTATGAGGTAGAAGAGATCCAATTCTACAAAAAAAGAACAACCACAGAGGTTCAAGTCTCACGATGGGAAAGTGGATTGATAAAAGAGAAATAGAGTAAACAGGTTCTTTTGGATCAATTTTACTGATACCAGGAGTAAAAAAAATAAACTGATGGTCTGATATATGGAAGTATAATGATTCTACAATAAGGAGATATTGTAACCTGTATCTATACCTATATATAAGACTTAGAGGGTAAATAATAGAGACAGATATCAGCAAAATTTTACTTCACATCTAGTACATCCTGTGCATCTGACACATGGCCTACTTAAAGGCAAACCATTAATCTAGAAGTGATATCTGTAGGACATCATGTCCAGATTCACCTTCCTCTTTTATACCCCATCTTAACCCTACTGGACATGGATGGCAACATCTCCTGTGTCCAGAGATTCTACACTCCCTGCTCCTTATTTCTAGAGATGTTATCCTTTCTTCTCCTTGTGTGTGGATATTCTATACTTTCTTCTTCTTGTATCATGACTATCCCTGTGACCCTTTACTACATCCTAATATTGTCTGATTCTCCTGCATCCCATTTGACTTTGCCTACCCACTGGCCTCCAATATCATAACCTGACCTATAACAGTCAACATTAATCCTGTTATTCTGGATGACTCCTCTTAAATTTCAACAGGAAGACCCACTACCTAAAGATCAAGATTATCTCCCATCCATACTCATAGTCTTGATCTCTACTAGTAAGCTCCCCACATTTTAGTGCCAATGGCCCTTGCACACGGATCTTTCAACTTATATACAGTTTGTATTCCTCGGTGGTAGTTTCTTGGCCAGATTCTCCTGCTAGCAATCAATCAAAATCTGGACCTTTGTGACTCCTAGTTTTCACTACCTGATATTTCATGTCACAATATCTATAAAAAAAAATATCTCACCAGACACGGAATGTCTGTGTCCAGATGTAATTGGTTATTTCTTTTTATTGTGTGCATCCTCACTATTGAGACACTGACTCATTTCATCTGTCCTGTCTGATATGTCGACACAAACCTATGTCACGGCCACTGGGCTATGGAGATGGAATATGCATGGGTTTTTGGTTGCATATATAAGATGTGGTTTCCTTGATTGCATAGTGGAATTTCCTTTGTCTAGGGGAATGGGACACGTTGCCGCGCAATGGAAGATGGCGGAACCAGACGGAGGAATCGTGGCTGCGCGTGACGCCAAGGACTTTCTTTTGTATTGGTAATCAGGGAGGATTTTCTTAGTATATAAACGGGTGTGTCCCTTTATATTTTTCTTTCTTTACGCAATCTGGTAATCTCCTTTGGATACCTGTACCTAGGAATTACACCCTCTACTTTCTGGCGTCCTCTGGAACCTCTGAACCCTGACCCTGAACCCCTGAACCCCAAATCTCATACAACTCGCTTCGGTTGTACCCCTGCACCTAGATCTCCTCTCCATAGTCCTGCCTGTCCTCGATCGTGGTGTGCCTTGGCCTACCAGACCCTCCGACCCTGTCCATTAGACAACTATGGCATCTGCCAGGACCGTAACCCACCACCACACCA